AATGTTTTCGTCACATTTGTCCTTGTTAGGTACCTATTGTTAGTTAGCCCCCCACCCCCTTACAAAAAAAATTGAAATTATAGAAGGAAGAGTAGCTGAATAAATTAAGCCACAGGGGAATTTTATTAAATCATGAAAGCAAGGTGGCCTTTTTACCCTATTTATAGGGGATTTTCCCTATTTTTGATCTTTTCGCCCTATCTTTTCCCTATTTTATACATTTGCCATATTTTGCCCTATTTTTAACATTTTGTAATATTTCTCAAATTCTCTGGCATTTTGTAAATAAAATGCGGAAAAACAAAGAAATTTGACTCTAGGACTTAACAATTCCCAAAATCTGCGGCGCTGAAAAGGAGAATACAGGCTTATTATTAGAGGTAGACAAGAGAAAGTATCTCTATTAGATTGTTATGCGCCATTATCGGTTTCTGATATCTGAACTTGAAACCGGTTCGAGACACATCTCATACGCTTGTCGTACGATAAAAATTTCAATTTTTCGAGATTCAAGTTTTACAGAACCACGCGCAGATATATGTAGTATAGTATACCGATGGAAAGGTTTCGATATAAGACACATACCATTCGATTTGCCTCAACGAGTTGAGTCGAATGGTACCATTCTTTTTTCCCGAGGGGGGGAGTCGACGGTCGCTGTGTTCTGGGCTCGTAAAATAATCCTATTCCTATCATCAATGAGGGTAGCATGCAGGCTTCTTCAGTAGCTGCAAAAACTTTACAGATGCCATAGGTAAGGAACTAAAACAAACGATCATAACTTTGTCCAAAATTGATAGATCGCAATGATTTTGGTATCATTCGACTCAGCTCGAGGAGCTCATTTGAATGAGCTATCATTCGAAAAATCGATTTTTTCACTCCAAAATTTTGCTTACTCCTCCCTATGGTTTTTCGATTTTCGACTCAGCTCGCTGAGACAAATCGAATGGTATGAGTCTTATATCGAAACCTTTCAACCGATATACTATACTACAGCCCCACGTGCTTCGCACGTGGTTTTGCGGCACGCGCCGACGCTTGCCGTGTTCTGCACAAAACAACAAATCCTAAAATTAAATCTGATTTGCACCGCTAACATTTGCGTCGACATTTGCGATGAATTCGATTAATACTATCCTCGCATTTTTGGCGTTAGTATAAAAGCTATTCTGTTATTTGGTCTGGCGTTATTCTGTTACTATTTTGATATTCGATTTTTTCTCCAAAATATATCCGGCGTTTATTGTTAGCAGTATTTTTTTGTTGTTGTATTATCTACATTAGAGACCGGCGCGGGACGGGATCCCGACAGGATATTCCGGGATCCCGATCCCGAAATCCCGGATTTTTTTGATTTTCGGGATCATTCGGGATCCGGGATTTTTTCGGGATTACTCCCTCATTTCGGGATTACCCCCCCCCCCCCCATTGTACATATATATACCACAATTGAGAAATATATCGAATACCGAAAAATATCGAATACCGAAAAATATCGAAAAAGTCAAAATTTTCTCGGTCGATATTTTTCGATAAATATCGAAAAAAAATATCGAAAAATATCGATAATTATCGATAAAAAATCGTATCGGTCCGATCTCTAGTTTTAGTACTAGGCCAAAAATAGGGTTGGTATGGAGAGTCTAACAATAAGCTTCATAACCATCTAAACTTAAAAAAATTTAATAGAATTTTTTCTTCTGAGGCCTTCCAAAATTCTCGAAATTTTCGCCTCCGGCGGTGAAAAATGGAAGAAATTTGGCTTCATGGCCTTCAAAAATTTTCAAAATTTTCGCCTGCGGCGCAAAAAATGGAAGAAATCTGACTTTATGAAAAAAATTTTGTAGAAGCAATTCTCAATATTTTCGTCTGCGGCGCATGGAAGGGATTTGGGATTAAGAGGATCCTTGGAGGAAATCATTGGAGGAAATATTGCTCCTTGGACTCCAAACTGCTCAAAAATTGGTGGGTACGAGTACGAGGTAAAGAAAGGCCTGTACGAAAGTAGGAGCAAATTTCAAAATTCCAACCACGAATTAATTTATTTTACAAACTTTTAACCTCGAAAAATCTACAAAATATCCTTCATAGCTTCCAAAATCCTTAGATATCCCCCTAGCAACATTTTAACACATAAACGACAATCATATTACAACATTTTAACACAAAAATTAATAAAATTTTTTTTTTGAAAAATCCGGAAAAAAACCGGAGTCCGGTCCGGAATCCGGATAATTTCTGCCGGACTCCGGAAATTTTTTTACCGGATTAAAACCGGACCGGATTTATCAGAAAAATCCGGCCGGATCCGGTCCGGCTCTAGCTGCAAATCCGGGATCCGGGTCCGGCAAAATCGATTTTGCCGGGCACTACTTTAAATATCTTTAGTTTATCCCATTCAATATCATCTTCGATATCAACTACCAACCATTATTAAAAACAAAAATGACATCGAAATTGTTTATTATTATTTAAATAAATTATTTAATTGTTCTTTTAACCGTGGCTACTTTAGAGAATTTATATTTATTCCAGAATTGATTCAATTATTATTTGGATCCAAACAATTTTATATTCAAACCTGTCTTCTGGTTATTACGGATAGCAATATTGAAAATTTATTTCAATTTGCTTTAAACCAGGGCTCTCATTCGTGCTTTATTTGAAAGTATTATACTTTGAAACCGACCTCCATACTTAAGAAATTGAATTTATACTTTATTGAAAGTATATACTTTAAAATCAACATTTTGGATTGAAAATGAAATTGGGGAAGGGATTGGGCAAAAAAGTGAATTTTTTTAGCCTTGGGCCTTCGAAATTATCAAAATTTTCGCCTGCGGCGCTGAAAAAGAAAGAAATCTGGCTTCTTGGGCTCCAAATTTCAAAAAATTTTCGCCTGCGGCGCTGAAAATGGGAGAAATCTGACTACTTGGGCTCCAAATTTCAAAAAATTTTCGCCTGCGGCGCTGAAAATGGACGAAAGCTTGAGGTTAAGACTGTCAGGGCTTTATTTCTTGTATCAGCGAATTTTGACATGTCATGCGTTGAAATGCACAAAATGCCCAATGGAAGCAAGAAATTATTAGAAAAGATTCATTTAAGAGAGAAATATAAAAGATTTGAGCACGAACAAATATTTTCCAATTTAATTTTGAGTATACTTTAAATTTGGAAATTTTCTCCCTATATACTTTTTTATCAAGATTTTGATACTTTTGAGTGGCATTTTGTCGATGAGAGCCCTGCTTTAAACCATTTAATTAGTAAAACTCTTGATATCAATTTTGGTATTGATTATGGAAAAACTACGGAAAAATGTAGAGATACTTTATTTAAAATTTTAACAAGTAAAGGGGATAATTTTAAAAATGTTAATTTGATGCTTTACGATAGTCATATGGTGAATTATGCTGTAAATGTAAAAATGCTTTATGAACATATGTATTGTTGAAGTAATTTATTTACAGAAAAATTAAAAATAAATTTAAAATTTTAGTATATAGCAACATCTAGAGACTGTTCAAAATTGGTGGCTGTTATTACAGTTAGGTTCTCTTATCCCACAATTTTTGAATTAAGCAAAAGAGCAGAAAAAGTTGAAATCAAACAATATTCAGTATTTAACAACGAGAGAAAAGATACAAAATACCAAATTGTCAATATTTACAATCCAGAAGTGAGATTCTCATTTTTAACTGAAGAAAGTGAAGGATTAGGGACTTCACAAGTTAAACTCAAAATAATGAAAGGGTAGAATTTGAGAAGACAAAAATAAAGTTTTTGGATTTGTCGTAGAAATATATATTAAAAAAATTTTTCATTGACTTTTTTGATTAAATTATTTTTTTGTTTATTAAAATTGTTTGTGTTTTGTCTTTTTATCGGCATTTATTTATTTAGAAGTTCTGTAAAGTGTGCTAAACTTTTGCACCATAAAAATGAACACTCTTTAAATTTGAAAAAAGTTGTCAAATTTCTGATGTTTAAAAAGGGGCTAAAATAGGCCTCTTTGCAAAATGGGCCCCTTTTTGCCGCGGAGGTTTATGTATGGGGTAAACGCCGAAAACATGCGCCGGAAAGATGGCGTTTATTTGTCCGCACCTATTATTTAGTCCTCCGATTTGATCTTCCCTTTATTAAACAAATCTTTAAAATTTTAAAATAAAATTCGAGCGTTGACTTATCAATTTTTGATAAATAATTAGCCAAATACTTGAGTATACTAATTTGTAACAGGTTCAAAAATTTATTTAAAATTAAATATAAAATAGAATTTTATTGAGCAAAAAATAAACAAAAAAATTTAGACTTAAAATTCTATTCAAAATATGCGAAAAAACAGAAAAATCATCTGTTCCCAAACAAATAATAAAACAAAGGTAGTGTAATTGCTAAAACTGCATAGGACCTGAAAATTTTTAATTAAAAAGTCATTTATTTAGTTAATTTTTGTAAAAAGACTTCAAAAAAATTTTTAGAGGAGAAAATGTTTCCTTAAAAATTACCTTTTTTCCTATATTTAATTTATATGTATCGTCCAAAAAATTTTTTCTTCAGAAGGTAAAAAATTGATAATTTAAATTCATTATAAAGCCCACCAAATTATTTTATCTTTTCTTAATATTTTTTTCATTAGCTTTAATAATCTCATAATCTTATAATTTGTTTAAGTGTTGACCAATTTCGAAGTTTTTAGGGGTAGAAAAAATATCAAGAAATGTAAGGAAGAGAAAGATCCAGCTGGCTATCAATTAAAACGCTTATTAAGTCTTTTAAAAGAGAAAGTTGAAGCGCTGATACTTATACGTGGTGAGCGGAAACGCTGGAAATTCACTGTAGGTCGCAGGATCGATGCCTCCTCGGTATTAAATTTTTCCTCAGCTCTGGCTGAGGTAAAAATTTTGGTAGGCCAAAAATGAATTAAAACATCAAATTTTGGCTTATAAAAATTTGTTGACTTTGACATTTAAATTTTAAAAATTTCAAAAAAATTATTACCCAACAACAAAAGCCAATGTCTGTAATTTCATTTTTGATTCAATATTTCTCTCCGTTTGTTGAAGCATTGCTTCCATCGAATCTCCAATAAATACAAAATTTTGTTTATTTTCTTCATTATCAGAAATAATTATTCTTTCCAAATTTAATAAACGTTTTAATTCATTCATTTGGTCAGAAAGGGCTGAATTCTGGAAAATTTGTAAAAATTATTATGTAAGAGTGTAAGCCACATTTAGAGGTCATAATTTATATAGACCTTGTTTTTTCCCTCAAACCTAACATCTTTGAGGACTTTTTTTTATTTTTTCTTATATTAAATAAAGTCAAAATTTTTGGCTATTATCTGACGGAATCGAGGGCCGAAGGCCCGAAGTAACAACTAACTTAAAGGGAATCTGAGATGACACCCGTCTAAAATTGACACCCATCGTCTTCACTAACGTGGGGTAGACAAGGGCCAAAGGATCGAAGTGTCTCTAAGTGGAATGACAAGTTCCAACGAGGGGAAGACGAAGGCGAGGGCCGAAGGCCCGAGTTGGCTGAAAAGGCCCGAGTTGGCCATCCAAACTTTCTAGCAGCGCGCGAAGCGCGCCCCAAAGCCGATAGGCTTTCCAACGGGCAAAACAAAATAAACCGCCAGAGTATCCTAATAGGCACCCAGCTATCCGCCGCCATCAGTGGTCAAACCCACAGCTAGTTTCTTAAATTAAATAAAGTCAAAATTTTTGGCTATTATCTGACGGAATCCCTCAATTCCGACCATATAACTCATGATGGGATGCCCACTTTTTAATATTCTTGGTACCGCTGGATAGAGAATTAAATACACTACAATATACAAAAAAACAAAATTTTCAACTGATTGATAAAAAAAAGTTACGATCAAAAAACTAATTTATAAAAAAATATTCGATTTTTGGCTTTTTATCGATCATATCTTTTTTAACAATAAATTGAAAATCTTTTTTATTTAAGTATTTTATATGTATTTAATTCTCTATCCAATGGTAACAAGAACATTAAAAATTATTCGCCCCTTCATAAGTTATAAGGGCCGGGACTGAACTGAAGTGTACTTATTAGCTTAAATAAAAGTTATTTTTTGATTTCCTATAGTCCCTTTTAATAAATTATCGCAAATTTGTAAGGGCGTATTATCCAGGGAACTAACCATTAATGTATTTTAGACAGTTAAATCAAATTTTTTGAAAGAAATTTTTTAAATTTTCAAAATTTTTAAAAAATTTTTATTTCCAAATTTTACCACAAATTTTAAACGAAAATTTAAGTTAAAAAACCTGTTCTTTCAATCCTCCCAAAATCTTTATAAAATCATTTTCAGTTATATCCACATTATTTTCATTAAATTTATTTTTAGAATTCAAAAGCATTGGAGATTCCAAATTAAACATTTTTGTCAAATTTTCGAGAAATTCAGAAACCTTTAAAATCTAAAAACAATTTTCCCCAAAATTCAAACAAAAAACCTGTCCCTGACTTCCCCTAACCATTTGAACCATTTCATCAAGTAAAGGCTTAATTTCTTGTCCAGAAGGAATCATTTCCCGAATATGCTTCATTCTCAATTCGGTGGCTATTGTTGTGCCCAAAATACCCAATAAAGCACCAAATAATGATCCAATGAGTGACCAATATTTTGTTCTTTCTTCTCTTTCACGTTCACGTTCGTGACTGACTCTGACCTGCAAAAAAAGAATTTTTTTAAATTATTTTAAGAAATGTCCGCAAGTTTTGTCCGCAAAGTTATTTAGAATTAAAAATGAAAGTAAACTTGGATTTGAGTAATTTTTGGGAAAAAACTTTAGAAAAAATACGAAAAAGTGATAAAATTAAAAGAAATTTCTAGAAAAATAATATTATAAAAAATAACTTTCAAAAAATAGAAAAAGAAAAATTCGTAAAAAATTGAAGAAAAATTCCCAAAAATTTTCAAGTTAACAATCGATTTAAAAATTTACCAAAAAGGAATCTTAATTAGGTTGGGGTTTGTTGTAAATTTAATTAATTTTTTAAGAAGCTTTAATTAAATTTTTTATCAAAATTTAATTCGGAATCTTAACCAAATTAGTTATTTGCTTATTTTAATTAGTTAAAGATCAAATTAAGGTAATATTGAACCGGACAGATCCCCTTTTTCCCCTATATTTTTGCAAAATGGTCAGAATACTTTCCTTACATCCAAATTGCTTTTTCTAATTTTTGCCTAAAATCAAAACTCTTGTACTTGTTAAATACCAAAAATAATCCACTTTTTAGTTCTTTTTGGCATGTACTTGCACTTGTATAAAATTAAATAATCCTTTTTGTTTGATTGTAGGCAAAAATTAGAAAGGCAATTTGATTGTAGGCAATTGACCATTTTGTAAAAATATAGAGGAAAATAGTAAGAAAAAAGGAGGTCTGTCCGGTTCAATTTTACTCATGTCAGATCACTAAACACCCCCAAATCCAAAAAAAATAATTCCAAAACCCCCAAATTATTTTTAAAAAAATTCCAAACCTTATTAGACAAAACATTAAAAGCCTCCCTCTCCCTAGTTTCCAATTCCTCATAAATATTCATCATTTCCCTTTCTTTTTTAATTGCAGCATGTTCGTCAGTTATTAGACGTAAATATCTAAATTTATTTTTATAAAATTAAAAAAAATTAAAAATTCCAAACTTGTCTTCCCCTCTCAATGTCCTGTCAAGTTCACTGTGTATTTCTTTTAATTTATTTTGTACAAGTCTAATTTCTGATTGTTTTTCTCTTCTGTCCTGTTGGGCTTGGAATAAATTACTTTCACACTTAAAATAAAAAATTAAAAGATTTTAAGTAGGGCTCGGAAAAAAATCCGCAATTTTGAGCTAAAAAAATCCGCATTTTACTCAAAAATCCGCAAAAACTATTTTGGCGCCTTCAAACCAAAAAATCCATTTTTTCTGCGCCGCAGGCGAAAATTTTGGTGATTTTGAATTTTGAGAACCAAAAGTGAAAAACATCAAGAAAATCATAAAATTCCGCAAAATTTTCTCAAAGACATCAAATGCGGATTTTTCCGCATTTAAAAAATAAATCCGCATCGACCTTTCAAAAAACATCAAAAAGCATGAAAAATCCGCAGAGATCCGAGCCCTGATTTTAAATGTCAAGTAAACCCCAAAAATATTAAATTTTTAAATTTGCGGACAAAATTCAATATTTGCGGATTTTCAAAAAAATTTTATTAGAATTTCTAATTTTAATTAGAAACGATTAATAATTTATTCAAATTTTAGAGTAAACTCTATTCTAGATTAACTTGATAAAATTTATGCCAAAAAAGTAACACTTCTAGAATTCATCCACAATTATTTAAAAATGTCCGCAAAAATAAAAATAATTGTTTTTTTAGTTATTAGAAATGTAAGATTAATTGAAAAATATTTTTTCAAATTATTAAAAAAAATAAAATTATTAAATTTAAAAATAAAATAAATAGGGTTGGGGGCCCGATCCGGCCTGGCCTGAAAGATCGAGTCGGGCATTGAATTTTGGCCCGAAAAAAACTCGGCCGGGCCGGCCCGAAAAAAATGAGGCCCGAAAAAGACTCGGTCGGGCCGGCACGACTCGAAAACCCCAACCCTAAAAATAAACCAATAAAAATTCAAGTAAATTTATATAATAAAGAAAAATATCCAAAAAATTCTATTGGGAATTAACCTATTTCTAAAAATAATCCCCAAATTAAAAAATCTAGTTATAGCCATATAAATCAAAGAAAAACAGGAAATATCAATTTTCGGATTTAATAAAAATTAATTTGTCGACTGGGAAATTTTAAAGAAAAAATAATTTTAAAAATTTTTTCAAATAATTTTAATTACTTGATTAACTTCATTTCTAGCTTTTTGAACTTCAGAAAGTCCAATAAATTGTTCGTAATAAGAAACGATTTTTGAAAGAGATTTATTTAAAGAATTGTTGTCTTTTGATTCTCTTATTGATGCTGAATTAAAATATTTTGTTGTTATTCTCATTAAATTTGTTTTGGTAAATTTCATTTAAAAACTGAATTTTAACTTTTTAAAAAGGTGGACAAAAATAAATAAAAATTAGAGACCGGCGCGGGACGGGATCCCGACGGGATTTTTCGGGATCCCGATCCCGAAAAATATTTTTCGAGGTTTTTTAATTCCGGATTTTTTCGGGATTTATCCCACGGGATCCCGGCATCGGTTAAGAAAAAAATCCCGACTCGGGATCCCGGAAGTGCGATTTTGCCGGTCTCTAATAAAAATAGTATTTTTATTAGAGCGGGACGGGATCCCGCGGGAATAATCCCGTACTCCCTCAAAATCCCGCAAATCGAAAAAGTGCGGGAGCGGTATCCCGCAAAATCCCGTACGTCCGTCCCGCGCCGGTCACTAAAAATACTTACTTGCTAGACTCGAATGGACGACATTTATAAATTAAAGACAAGCTAATTGAGAGCAGAAAATTTTAATCTACATAAATACGGTCTAGGGCCTATTCAAATTACCGTTGATTTCGGGATTTTGAGATCTCAATGAAGAAAGCACTTACAGGCAGTGATGCAAAAGTTCCTAAGTAATTGTTTTTCTTTGGAAAATAAATTATTATAAACTTACTATGTAGTTTGGATGTAGTCTTCACTCTTTATTTTACCCTGCTTCTTCACTCCCCCTCGTTTATTTACCAATATTCGCCTCTCTTCCTTTATTACACAATTAGACTCGTGAGTTCTAACTCTAAAGATCTGTTTCAAAATTTCGATTTTCAAGCAGAGTTATTCGAAATTTCGATATTTAACATTTAATTTTAGGGTTTCGGAATTTCTCTTTGGCGCCAAAGAAAGGAATTCTGGCTTTCTGGCCAAGGAAAATTCAGAAAAATTTCTCTTGATGCGCAAAGAAGTAATCAAGCCCATTTGTATCCTCCTTGATTCCTCTAATTTCATCGATATATATCCTCTTTGATTCTCCGATATCCGTCTAAATCCGATGTACTAAATTATAAAATATTTTCAAATTATTTGATATTTGATAAAATAATTTGATTTTCCTACTTCTTTGCGCATCAAGAGAAATTTTTCTGAATTTCCCTTGGCCAGAATTCCTTTCTTTGGCGCCAAAAGTTGAATGTTTGAGAAATTCCGAAGCCCTAAAATTAAATGTTAAATAT